AGATCTATTTTCAGTCAAAACATTGATATTAACTCAAAATAAGACCAAAGAAAGTTTTCTCATCCAGTTGATAAAAAGATAATGGTCACTCAATCTGGCAGTCAAATTAGGAGCTCGTAAATTTGCTATTTTACCTATCCGAAACTTGTGGGACTGGATTTTGCACCATATCTGACATCATTGTGACATTCATGTCATTTCGACATTATCCAGAACTCTTTATCAGCCACCGGTGGGACAGAATCGAAAAGTTTTGTATGGGGCTTGTAAAAAAATGACATTGACATTTAAAACGTTACAGCGTTATCTGCTATTTAAAATTGGTGGGACAGAAATTTTGTATTTTATCTGACGTGACGTCATATTTACACTATCAGGGCCGCTATCTACCACCGGTGGGACAGGCCCTTAGTGATTTATTGTTACATTTATGTTACTAAAAATAGAAGATAGCAGAGATCAAACGTATAGATCCTGTTCGGGTACACATGTTCGAGTAATCGATCGCGCAATAAATGTAGCCGTTCCGGCTTAAGGTGCGTTACCACTGAAAATCGGCTACAAAGCAGTAAGAAAACGAAAACTAACGTTATCTATGCTATCTAAAAAGAACCTGAAGTAATCTCCTTGTTTATGGTGGACATCATTTTTTTTATTCACTAAAAGGTAATAATAAGTGTAAATGTATATGTTAATAGTGTAGAAATATACTAAAAACGAAGTTTAATATTAGTGGAAACGCAGCTTTAGGATGTAACTGCGCAACGGACGGACGCCTCGACTGAAGGCCAGCTAATTGGTGTACACCCAGTATACACGCCGGGAACTATACGGGAATATAGGAGAGATATTACATTAACCAAATCTTTAAGAATATTTAAGACATTTTAAAATCATACGGATGACAACCATTGTACCTAGTTGAAAAGGCTGAGGACTTTTATGAGTAACTAAAGAAGCTACGGAGGCAGCAAGCGCTTACATTTCTTAAAACTAGGTCAAAATCCCAAGTAAGCCTACGTCATATTGTTCTACGTCCTGTAAACAAGTACATAAGTTTTAAAATCTAGCCTTAAAAATACACTAACAAAGTCTTACCCAGTATCGGATACTGTCTTGGGTGACTCCACGTCATATATCTCGAAACCGGTGCTTGGGCAATAATAGAAGCAGTAACGAAACTGTCCGGACACTCCACGCTGTAGCATTGCAATAACTAACGAGTACAAATGTACTAAACATCGACACCACACAAGACAATTTACACTTCAATAAACAACGAACTTTAACTGAGAGTTACTGCTTCCCAACAATTTAATGCTAAATTAACGTAAATATAGGTACACTAGATATGCGAATGTTAAGAAGTCCCGATTCTAAGTGAAGCAGAGCTCATTAGATGCTTTTAATTATTTAAACACAATCAACATTGATACTACGAGTATAATTTATCTATTGCACTATTAACAAAGATGGGTCACTCGCGCTAATGTAATTGGTTTGACTGCTGTTAGAATACCGTGCACCTAATGTTTTTTTATAATAAAAGGGGGCAAGCGGCTAGAACATCGTAGTCAACGACGCCCATGAACATCCGCAACACCAGGGGAACTACAGATGCGTTGCCGGCCTTTAGTGTGTGAGTCTGTGTGTGTGTTTAGAAGTTCACTTTTACAACAAATATTTTGTATTATTTACGTAAAATAAGTTCTTAGCTTACGTTACGTTATGAATGTGGTATACCGGTAGAGGTAGACTTAGAGATGGATGGTTTGCGTGAAAGGTGACATGATCAAGAAGGGAGACTGAGATGGCATATGTTTTTTTTTTGTTGTCGCGGGGAATGCATTTACGCACTTCACCGTCCATGCTGCGGAGGCAGCAGGGACAGTTTCGTGTGGGACTCCCGGCCTTAATCCCGGCCGGACTACCCACTAAACCCCGCGGTGTTCTTCGCCCAACCGGGCAGTGGCATCTACAAAGATGACATATGTTAGAGCTACGTGGAGGACAAAAACTTGTGCTTACTCTACGGGATTAGAATAAGGAGGAAAATATAGATGGAGTTACTTAGAATAGATTACATTTGAATTAATTTAGTGCTTGTGATAATCTAACTTCCGCATAGTTAATGAGATTGTTTACTGTGATTTAACAAATTATCTTAACGCTATTATTAACTTAACTGTGTATGTTGTACAGTGGAATAAACTATAACAAAACAATAAGAATTGCAGTATTAATAGTGCATTACCATCTATGATAAGAACTTTATGAGAGTAAGGTTTATTGGCTTTTGTATTACTGTTGACCCTATTGTGGATAGGGGATTACACGGCAATGGCCTTTGTAAACTCGTTGTTACTATATCAATTATATTTGTAGACTAAACAACGGAGATAAACATAGGTGTTGCCAGACGATTATCTGGGTAGGTCTAGAGGGTGGACAGCTATTATAAACATGGTTTTAATCGAAGTTTTCATACATATTTTAGATTTTTAGGTTCTTTAACTGTCAAATCTAAAAAACTCTATGTTACTGAGTGATAACGTAGATTTGTAATAACAATAGAATATTTAAAATTGGACCAGTAGTTTTTAAATTTATTCATTACATATATAAATACAAATATCTCTTTATATTAGTGTAGATATCGCATTTTTACGCACTAAGTTTATAGAATGTATTTTCTGTATCTAGATTTCTAGATCTTATCAACACTATGAATAAAGGTAATGGTAACACATAACTAGCTATCTTTTCCGCAACATCACATAGTTTGTGTGAAATTGTAATTGTTGTTACAATTGTTGATTGTTTGTTCACATCTTGTGTACATTCTTTAACTTGCAATTACGACAATCCAATCTCGGAATACGATTTAAAAGAAAAAATAGAGTTTTCTAAAAATAAATAACTTTTTTCATTGCTATAAATAACCATTTTTAAACAAAATAATGTTACAAATGCGAGGGTTTAGAGAGATAGATGGATGGATGTTTGTTAGAGTTTGCAGCCTAAACAGTTGAACGGATTTCGATGGTATAGATGTAGGGTATGGTAGTCTGGAAGACTCATAGACCATTCACTTTTGTTTATTTTTTTTACAAATATATTTTTAAATTAAACCAATTTGGTATCTAATACGGCGACATTAACGGGAGTATCCATAATTGTACATTGAGATAAAACGTAATACAGGCCAGTGTATTCAATACATCTAATTACACAAGCAATTAGCATATACTTAACGTAATTAGGGCAAGGGTCCAGTGCATATAACTTAGGGATGTACATTTGCAGTAGCAGAAATTTTAACACTAGATTTAATGATATCTTAGAATTAGTACTAATTTGTAATGTGATGCTTTATTTACTTATTCTATTGTTTACTTTCAATTTAGTTGATTCTTTTGTAGAAAATAAATTATTGTTAGAATTTGTGATTCAACAAATGTTAATGCATGATAGAATAAATCATACTAATATTATAAATGCGAAAGTTTAGTTGCATGGATGGATGGATGGATGTTTGTTAGAGTTTGTAGCCTAAACGGCTGAACGGATTTCAATGAAATTTGGTATGGATGTAGAGGATAGTTTGGAAGGACACATAGGCTACTCACTTTTTTTTTAAATTTTACGCGAACGGAGTTGCGGGCGAAAACTAGTTGATTATAAAGTCAAAATTTGTTTAAAGTTCAGTAAAGTTAATTTAACTGTTGCTCGGGACTCGTCTGTGTGAAAATAAAAAATATAGCCTATGTTACTCACAGATAAATTACCTTTCTAACAGTGAAAGTATTATTAATTATTAATCAGCCCAATAGTTTTTGAGTTATTTCAATACATGCAAAAATACAAATCTTCCCTCTTTATAATATTAATATAGATGTAGATTACATCAATTAGCCAGGCAATGTGGAGTACTCACAACTAGTGTAGCTATGAATATTGTAATGTGGCAACCCTTTTACTGTTAGCAATATAACCAGACTTAAGCTGACAATAAAATTAATGTTGCATCACAATCATTAAAATTTTATTACAAGGAATTGTAACGGGTGTGAAATTTATGGAATTTAGTATGCAACGAAAATAGTGTAACCATGGAAACATGGTTTGTGGGTCAACTTTTATATTGAAACTTTTTGTGTACCAATGCTATGGGTGTGATTATAATTCTGAAACGAATTAAGCACTTTGCTTCTTACGCGCACCTTACATCAAACAGTGGATTTTTTAATACATGTCATTTACTTTGCTTCATAAGCGCCACTTACAATCTCATAGATGTTTAAATTTGGAGTTTTAACAAGCCCTTATCATCTAAACTGCTGTTACATATTTAAATGTTTCAGTATTGTCCGTTAACTTAACAGTGGGCGGTTTTCTGTTACAAAATGAGCCATTTATTCATACTACTTACTTGCTACTGGAGCATTGATCGCACAGTGGTTTAAGCACTAAACTTGTTATCTACAGGTCTTGAGTTCAAATCCATGTACCGATATGATTTTCGAATTTTCATATCTACATAATTAATCCGACGTTCTTACGGTGAAGGAAAACATCGTGATCCCTGCAAATATCGGCTAAGAAATACAAGAATATGTGTTAAGTCAAGCAACCCGCAGTGCAGCGTTGTTGACTATGGCATAGTCCCTAATTTAGAGGAGGCTCCAAGCCCCTTGTATAGAAAGTGATCTGGTGGTGATAGTTGCTTATTGCTACACATAACATGTAAACAGATGCATTCTTAGTTAAGGTCTAAATATATCTACACAGCTATTCATTGATTTACTTCAAGGCCTGACAAGAAGCCATACAATTTAATTTAAAGACACATTTCATGATACATGTATGCTTAAAATAAATTAAAATTTAACGCTAGCTTTTTCTTGCTACTTCACACACTTAATTTTAAAAAAAAGTTACAAATATAGCTCATGTTCAGTGATATTGTAGCTTTCTAATGGCAAATACTTTAAATCAGTTAAGTAGTATTTAAATTTATTAATTACATACAAAAATACAAATCTTTCCTATTTATGATATTACTGTTTAATCTAACAATTAAAATGTAATACAAAAATACAGAAATAAGAAAAAATCATTTTCTCCCCAACATTTTATAGCAAATAAAACTGATTTAATATAAATAATTGACCTTAGATGGATACAATCCAGAATTCTTGTTGTAACAAATAATAGTTATTTATAAATCTAATTAGAATTGACAATAATAGAGCTATAAATGTCTAATTAAGATAAATTAACACATGGTTAAAGATAATTTAAACAATAACATTCCTTCAACTGGGGAATTACTATCACCTAAAAGAAAATTGATAATATTTTTATTCCTTTACATATTGGTTTTTCCCTGTAATTCTGTTCTATACTTAGGGAATGACTTAATAAATATATGGTTCTGAGGTTTTTTTTAATACTTAATAATATGAAAGTGTCCATAAACCCAATTGCGGGTTATGTACCCAAAGTGTAGCAGTATACGATTTCTTTTACGCCTACTGCTTTTTGCTTTATATTGCGAAGATATTACATTATACAACTGTTACAACACTCTTGCGCAAACTTTAGTGCAATAAAAAAATGAATTACCCAAATTCAAATAACAAAACATTTAAATCGTCTAGAGAATTGTTATTTAATTTTATGTTATGAAATATGTGATCGTGATCCATTACATGTCTAAAGTATTAGTTTATGCCTATATTGACTTAACCTCAATAATAATATTTAAGTACTCACACTTCCAGTATCCGATCTCCTTTCCTGATGCCAGCCAGCTCAGCCGCTCCTTGCTCCAGGACAGCGCTGACATGCTGCAGAGGCGCATATAATTCACCATTGATGGATCTTAGCTGCCCACCTTCCGAAACCTGACCGCGCACGTTAAAACCGAAACCAGTTTCAGTTTTATATATCGTAACTCGACGGGGCCCATTGCTTTCAATTGGGCCCTTGTTATTTCTATCAATACTGTTATTATCGGTCTCTGTCTCAGCCATTTTGGACAGTTTTGACCAGATGACAGATGCAATTGTATATCGCTGGCAAAGAGCACATAACGCTGATAGTTCAATAAATAACTTTGTGCCTAAAACGGAACTGTTTCAAATCCTTTAACAAACCGCTGCTTAAAAATGTCAGCTTTTGCTTCAATTCTACTTAAAGTATTTGTTAATATTATTGACAGTTAATTTCATCCGTATTATTTGTTCGTAAATTCACTACCGCTATCACCCGCAACCGTCAGTGCCAATATGGTCAGAACCAGAATCAAATCGGCACAAAACCTACGTTTTATAGCCTATCCTGGAAGGCACATGAATACTCTTTGAAATGCATATGTTACCGGTGTAAAAAATCTCAATTTGTGTAAAATTTTCTAAGTCAAGAAGTTTTGAAGAGAATATTTATAATTTACTCAATCAGATATTTCAATGTATTTTATGGCATGATTTATCTAAATCCGTAAATTCTGAAATCAAAGATTTTGACCAGATACATAAAAAAAAGAATTTGAGAAATTAAAAGCAGATGGCGACACTGGTAAAACAACGTGGTAAAGAAAATTCCAATAACTTCACATTCACATCAAAATCAGCTGTGAACATCAGTATGGCCGCACTATCACCTATAAAATAATTTTTTATAATTCAGATAAATAAATAGAAAAGTGCAATTTTTGTGTTCGTAGCGCGTTAGATAGTGTTAGAATTTAGAACACTGTCGGTGTTGATGTTGACTAAAAGTGTTGCGTCATGATAGGACACCTCTCACTGACAAACAAATACAACAAAAATTGCTAACTACGAACAACTGGCGGCTGTTTGTTACATTTGAGTGATCTTTATATTTTTGGCTTCGGTTGTGATCACGGGCTGATGTGTTTCGTGCATCATTTGAAGATAAATAAGTAACAATGAGCAGCATAAGACTTAGCTTCGTGTCGGTGGGAAGGATAGCGGTACGGAGAAATTCGCATCTGACAACTGGTGAGTGGATTCCCTTTATCCGTTTGGCTTTTGCCCAAAGTTGTGTGTCGCAGTTACTGGACAGGTACAGTTCGTATCATTGTTTGATAACATGACGTCACGTATTATGTTATTATGTTTTCATTCAAATGATAATCATTATCTCAGTTTATATTGTTTTCTATATGTTTTTACGCTGTATCTGTATAATGTAGTATTAGTAGAATAACAGCAGTTTCTAAGATAAGGTCAATAACATTAAAATTGTATAATTTGTGCTTGACATTGACTGCTAAGGTCTTTGAGACAAATGTGGACCATTCATCAGTGATGAATATATAAGTGGTCTAATATGCATAAATATTAAATATCGTGATGTATTTGCATATTGTGTTGTAATATTTGAATTAACAAACATTTCGTAAACACTTTTAGAGGTTATTCAATTGGAGCATAATTAGAGAATTTAATATGTTTTATATAAGTTTATTGTTGCTGGCCATCAGTGTTTAGACCTTAGCATTTTTCTTTTTCATAAATAACTTGACTAGATAAATGTGTGATAGAAATTGGACAAATATTTTATTAAAGTTTGTTTCATTTTTTTTTGTGTGTCTAAATACTTTTCTAGCATTATTGTAAAATAAATTTTTAACATCAAAATTACTATTTGATGTTTAAGTTTTTAATTATGCATTTTATCTGAATTTAGCCTTGTTCAAATGTCAGCTTTGTTTGTTTACAATGCAGTTTCTTTGTTGTAATATGCTACCAAGTAAGGCCAGGATATTTAATATCAATTGAAATATAAAACTTTGTTAGTTGTATGCATGTTTTAATTTTCATAAATAATATAGAAAAAAGTTTCTAGAAACACCTCAATGTTCTTAATAAATTGCAACATTATTTAAAAAGAAATGAAAACATCAAGACAAAAATCTTTGACTCAAAAACTACTAGATACTTTTTGACATTGAAGAAAGTAGTACCAAATGGTAGCTATTCTGCATCAATCAAAAATAGAATCATAAATTGGATTCAAAATTTTAAACACATGAAAATCAAATAAAGAACCTTATTGTTGGTTGGTTTAAAATGGTTAAAGCATTAGATTACTTATCTTGGAGTTCCCAGTTAAAGTTAAAACCCATGGGACTAGTCATTACCTTTCAGTCTGTGTATAAACCCTATTATTCAGACTTAGGTCTCTCCACTAATAGTCTGAGAGTATTAAGTGAAAGTTGTGTTGCGTAATGGCATTCATACAGCCAGAGGGGGCAACGCAGACCTCTGATAATGAGTCATGATTTCCTCCAATTAGCTTAGCTTTTTCCCTATGTATGTTATTATGGAGGAAACCATCTCATAAGTGTTATATTATTATTTGTTTTCCCAATAAAAGGCATTTTTTTTGTACATTTATAGTTATAGTTTTTTGTTAACTTACAAATATTTCTTGCACAAGTAAGCTCTAAACTTGTGCTTGGATGTGGTTTCCGATATTGTGGGATTCAAACTCTCGATCATGTGATCAAAAATATGTACACTTTTGGTGTTTTTAATTTTGTTTTTAGTTAATCTAAAACTGTTTGAAACTAAAATGTCTAGCTTTTGACTAGACTGACTGGTTTTCAGTCTAATCTGTAAAGGCAATAAAAGCATATTAAATTATTGTCTTCTGGATTAGAATAAGATGTATAGTTTAAATAAAATTGAACATATAATATTTGACCACATCTTGTATATTTTTTGCTTATCCAAAGCTTATGTTAGCTATATTTATTTTACCTTATCTTTTTGTAAATTTGAATTTTTTTGTCATACAATTAGCTACAAGGTCAATTTTGACAGATGTTGAGAACAATTACACTTATATTTGGTTTCCTTATTCACGTAATTTGCTTAATTTTTTCTCCATTACTTAGTTGCCAGTGTTTGTATCATGTTTCACATAACTTATCTATGTATTCATTTATCACTTATTACCTTTTTAGCAACCACGCCCGCGTGCAATAAAAAATGTATATAGGCTATGTACCACTAACAACAAAGCTTTTTAATTGTGATTTTTTTATAATTCGGTCCAGTAGTTTTTGAGTTATTTCAATACATACAAAAATACAAATCTTCCCTCTTTATAATATTACTATATATGTTTAAAATCGTTGCTGTCATTGCCGAAGACAGACTAACTTAGCTATCATTTTTTTCTATGTATCAGAATTATATATCAAATTGTCTTCTATGACAGTTTTTAAGAAAAACATTGCATGTTGTATCATATTTTTTTGCAAATACATATGTTATAGATCACGCAATGTCTATTAAATATAATTGTAAAATATATGTCAAGTGTTGCAAGAGGAAACTTTCTATATTCATTACGTAAATATGATACTTTTAAGATTATAATCGCGTGCGCATTGAACGAAACACATTTTACCAAATGGCGCCACTTTCGTTTTCTCGACGCTAATGAGATAATAATGGCTAGGTTTTAGAAGGCTTTAATGTTGTGTGTGTTGTTGTTTACTACTAAATAAACGATCGACTTACGACAATAATGGCGTCAAAGTTCAATCAATAATGTTAAAAATATATCATGTTTGTCAATTGTATATAGTCCAAAGTTATTGTTGTAATTATTGACTATTGCTATCGATATCGACAAAACTCTTATGATTGCAAGACTTGGGACCTGTCCCACCACTAGTAGATAGAGGCTTAGATATAGACGCGGACGAAATCTAGTAAAAAAACTTAAAATTAATTTTTACTTAGAGGTATATTTGATTGAAGTTCTACCATAGTTGTAAGTTTACTGTTTATAGCGATATTCTGAAACTCGTTTCCGATTAAAGCCGAAAATGTAATCCGAATTTAATATGGAGTGTGTCAAGGTGAGTGTTGCAAGTGGTATTTGCCAGCCCCCTCGCCTTCATACCCCGCAACACGCCCCCGCCCCGGCTCTTTAAGGGCAAGGATATGACGCTCCTTATATGTGAAGACATGTTGAATTCACTGTCTACGTCTCTAGATTATAAGTTTGATTTCAAAAGGGTAATTGTAATATGCAAAGACTTTAGCCTTTTAAAAATAATCGCGGTAAAAAAACATAAGTTTTCTGGCACCAGAATATTTTTATTTAGCAAGTAATTTTTTATATGTCTCGAGGACAACGAAATTAATTGGGAATTGCGAAAAAATTGCGAGATTTACATCAAATTCAATTGACTTTGTCTCTATTAAAAGACATTGAACTGGTTTGTGGAAAATTTTAATCAAAATCTTTGAAATTTCAAAAGTAATAAGGTTTTTCTAGCTAGTATTTTAGATTATCTAGAATTGAAACAAAGAAACACCTTTAAAAAAAAAACATAAATTATAGTTCACAATAGACAACGAAGATATTTGTTAACTAAAATAGATAAATACAATCGTATTTTTACAAACACGATTGTAGTTTAAATAATCTAAAAACATCACAAGTATTGACATAAATATTTACTTCCTGATATAGGCATAATATTGATAATTTTGATATCGCTAACTACAATAATTTCCTACGATTTCCTCAAAGGCCGGCAACGAACCTGTAGTTCCTCTGGTGTTGCGTCGTTGACCACCTTTGTGTTCCCCCCTCTCGTTTACCCACTTCTCTTATAAAAAAAAATAAAGTTGCCGAGGATCAGTTTTAAAACTCACGCTCAAACTCAGAGAAGTAGGTAGAAATGACAAACGCCCAATCGTCGAGATTCTAGAACCAATATTAATTTTACATCTATTAGGGTTGGCATTTTACAATGCCTTAAAATACCTGAATATAAAAGTGATCAGACCAAGAAAAGGTTGGCTACCCCTGCTTTAAATTTGAAACTTTGCATGTAGAGATGTTATCGGTTTCCTAAAGTCATCTTCAAAACTACTAAGTCATTAGTAGAAGTTTTAGGCTTCCTTCAAACTTATCCTGTAAAAATTTAAATAAGGGGTCAACATAAATTTAGAACTTTTAAGCACCTCGCGGACGGTCGCGGACAACAGTTTAAAATAATGCGACTGCTTTCTGCGATTTATAATTGTTTATTCTGTTCTTTTGGCAGTGAGTAATGAAGACATGTAAGATAAAATATGATCTACACGCCCATGACTGTAACTTGAATCCAACGCAAATTACATGTCGACGCGGGTCATTACTTAAGTGAAATGCAACCGTGCAATGTGAATGCAATAAACAATATGAGAACAAGTATGTATGGGTAAATGGCGCTGTGAATGTGTACTTCCAAAACCGGGTAAATTATTCATATCACGACAGCGAAAATTTTAAATTTTTACTTGCGAAAATCTGATCCGCCCTACTGTCCCGTTTGTCTGAATAGACCCTAATTTTGCAATCATACTAATATACGAGTAAATGCGAAAGTTTAGATGGCTGGATGTTAGAGTTTGTAGCCTAAACGGCTGCACGGATTTCGAAGAAATTTGGCATATATGTAGAGGATAGTTTGGAATAATACACAGGTTACTTGCATTTGTTTTTTTAATTCCGCGCGGACGGAGTCGCGAGCGTAAACTAGAAGTTAGTAAATGTTTGAAGACAAAGTATTAATGATTAATAGCTGACGAGAAATGTTTTGTTGGCATAAACACAATGTAAATGATATTAATAGAGATATTTTTGTTGATGACAGAAAAATATTTGAGTGTTGTTTGTGCATTAGCAGTGCATTGCTCCCATGAATCACTGCGATATCAAATGGCTTTAATTTGATCATGAATATGTTTGTAATTGAGTAAACGATTATCATCGATATATTAAGCTGGTGTCCGAAATCGAGAAGGGAAACATTTTTGTTTTTTTTAAATGCAAATTTTAGTGATTATTGTTATAATTCGATTTGCTTATTGTTTTAGTCACCGCTGCGTTAATTTTACAGATTTAATTAAAAGTCTGTATTCATGAAGCGGTAGAATTAAAAATCATGATTTTTTTGCTAATTTGAATAACTTCTCAGATGAAAAACAGAAATACGCTTTTGTTTTTGGTTTATTACACTCAAGAATTGCGTCAAACAACAAAATTATATTTTTTTTGTATAAATGTTAATCCCAGTTGATTTTCTTAATACTTAATTGTATTCTCCTTTACTTTAATATTCAGTCTTAAATATGTTTATGTAGTCACCATTGACTTGTGTTTAAATATTTTTACATTTGACAGTTCTATTTATCTTCATAAGTCACTTTAATATTGAACTGCAATCAATGCAAATTTAAGAGCGTTAGACTAAACAGTTGTGCGATAGTTTAGTCAAAGGTGTGCGTGCGCTCGATCGAATAATACTTGATATCCAAACACTTGTACGATAAAAATTACTCGGTAACACTTGAGTGTAGTGAAAGTATTTTTTTGGAAAGCTCCGCTTTAGCATAACGCTTGCTGAGACTATCCCCTCTGTAACCACACTGTAAGCTCTGATTATGAATATAAAAATATTATCATGCTTAGCCCACTTAGTGCTTGTTATACGACTGACCCGGGAGGTTGTATTTTCCAGGTTTTTTCAATATGAACTAAATTTATAATTTATTTGCTGTCATTATCTCCCTTGCCTTATCCTACTCCCGTAGGGTCGGCGCACTGGGTTTTAGTCCTCCAAATAACTCTATCATCCGTCATCTCAGTCATCACTCCCTTGATCATGTCACCTTTCACGCAATCCATCCATCTCTTTCTAGGTCTACCTCTACCGGTGTATCTCCACATTCATAACTGACGTCCTTCTTGTGACATGCGATTCATCCCTTCTCAATATGCCCATAACACGCTAACTTTTTATTCCATATTTTCTCAACCACTGGGTCTATAGTTTATTTGCTTTATTAATTAAATTGTTGGTGACGTAGTTTATCGTAATAAATTAACTTAACTTAACTTAACCATAAATTAACTTAAGTAATGTTAGAAAGAGGATCCGTACATTTTGGTAGACTTTATTTCATGTTTTAACGTCGTAATTAATCTTATTGTAGTTAAAAAAAAATTGTTACAAATTTTACAATATATTAGTTTAGGAGCCATCGAATATTTACTTTCTTTTATTTAAATTCTTTATTGTAAGCTTTTGTTTTAGTTTAAAATGTAAAAACTGAATAGGTTATACTTTAGAAAATCTTGTCACATTTATGTCACAAAGAGTTGCGGTCACACAGTGAACTGTCTACTCGTGTAAGATGTGGTTTACACAGACGTTGGTAAAGATGTATGTGTGGATTACTAATGTTAGGTTTCTATTGCTGAAACTCATTTATGATATTATTGCCGGTGACAATAACAGTTTTGAATTTTTCGCTTCCTCTTACTTCTTGGTATTATAAATGCGAAAGTTTAGATGGATGGATGTTTGTTAGGGTTTGTAGCCTAAACAGCTGAACGGATTTCGATGAAATTTGGCATAGACGTAGACGATAGTCTGGAAGAACACATAGGGTACGCAGTTTATTTATTCCACTCAAACGGAGTTCCGAGCGAAAGTTAGTCATCTATAATTTTTCTTTATCCCAATGATTTGTTAAGGTTGTTATATGAAAGTATTTTAATTCAGTATTCAGCGAAAGTCGCGGTTCGTGTGAGCTTTTTTATTTTTCCTGTTTCTTTGTTGGATTACTCAGCGTAATATTGCGCTAAGTGATTTCACTGCTTGATAAATATTGATGTAAGTATCGTTTAATCACGATGACCGAATTCGGTTATTCTTGAAGGTTAAATTAAGCCTGCTACAGACGGTCCGTTCTGACAATTTTCACGGAGCAGTTTATCTTCCAGTTGCAAATGAGCGTTTGTAGTAGCCTTTAGATTATGTTTGAGAAAATGACTTGATGAGGTTTTTATAATTTCTTGATATAACTAAATCTGCTTGTACAAATTACTTCCTTAGATTTTATTAGGAAATTATTTCTGAAGTTGGTATGACTTGCAATTCGAATTATTCGCAAATCATTCTAGTCCTGTCTATTTTTTCTGATCACAAGGCAAAATTGAGAAGTTCTATACTTGAGATCCGTAGATTATTTAAATTATTTTTTTATCGATAAACAATCATGTTTTTCATAATAAAGTATTTAAAACCAAGGATAAGAGTCAATTTAAACATCTAAGATAACCAAAAGCAGTTTTAGATTGAATATTAAATTCGTTCGTCAGTCGTTTATTTAATTGTTGCAGGAATTGTTTTATCTGTATACACCTAGTTAGCGCGCGAGGTCAGTTCATGGTTAGGCTTTGTTTGTAGGTGACCTTAGAGGTTAGTGTAACTTTGGCCGTGAAGATTCCGTTTAATTATAAGTGAAAGTAACTAACGAAGATTCAATGTAAAGAATTATTTAACTTATGGATTGCAAAAGGCCTTATTTCAAAAGATACTCCTATACTGATCTTCCAATTTGAATTTTTCTTATGAGAAAGGATGGAAAGGGAACGTGGAGTTGACGCTGAAGGAGACGCATAAGAAGGGAAATGTCGTCTTTATTTGCGTCTTCTCCTTCGATTTAGGGTTGGCAACACATCCGCTATTACGAATTGTATCAGCTGTATTTTTGTGGATTCAGGTGACCGCTTGCTCGTTTGCCACTCTATATGTATGAGCGTTTTATTCCATAGATGAATAGCACCGTTCTCGAATAATTTCTTATAATATTACTGCAGTCGATTCAGTTTAGCAATTGCAACTATGTAATGTCTAGAAAGGTCTTAAGTTGACCTTCCATATTACACTTGTATCACAGTCAATAATTCATTTAATAATCAATGTGACCTAAATGAGTAACTTAAATGATTCACAGCCAAGACCCTAATACTTGTTACAGTTATAGTGTATTTTGAAAACGCGTTTTTGAAAAACAGGGGCTATTACGAGTATTTACGTCACAATTGCGAGAACATATTCGTAACTTTATCGACAAAATTTGTATGAGGGTTGTAACTTACGCCCGGTGCCCGCAGCACAAATACAAATTTTGACATTACAAATTATTCTCATGAATATTCCTGATAGACTAGAACTGGACCGCATTATTACAGCGTGCGCACACCTTTGACTAAACATCGCACAACTGTTTAGTCTCGCTTTGATTCCTATCAGCGTATATGGATAGATATTACTCGATTTTTAGTTGTGAAATCAATTGAATTGGCTACGAAACAATCGACAATCGCACAACAGTTGTGCGATAGTGTGCACCCGCTCTTATGTGTGCCCAGAATAAGGGTTTTTTTTAATAGTATGATTGTGTTTGTTAGGTGGTGTACATATATGCCGTGCTGTACGGCGCGCCTGCTTGCGGCCGCTGACCACGTGTTCGGTGCTGTGCAAGAACCCAGGCGACCAGCCGCCCGGCGCAACGGGCACGCCCCATGGACCACCAAAGGACACAGCAGGTAACATAAAAAAAAAAAAGAAAAAAGTTAAATAATAAGGTAATATTAATGGGAATAAATAATTAATAACATTACGCTAAAAGCGATTTGTTGCACTTTGACTTATTTATATTACAAAAACTAACAAAAAACATACAAAAACTTACAATAAATATTGAAGTTTTTATCCTTTATTTTGGTTTTTCTTTGTCTATGAATTAATGCAATAATGTCAAAGTAATAGTGAAATAAAACATTCCTTTTGTTAATAAAAAAATACATAATTAACGCTATTTTTGTACCCAAGTAAAAACGTCTTTCTAAACTATTGATAACTAGCTGTCCCCGTGCGGCTTCATCCGCATGAAATTATATAAACTTTATTTTGTTGTTTACATTTTTCAAATTTTCAATTGAAAATGTCAAAATTGCCGTCACCATAATAACCCGCATGAAGGTTTTTTCCAATTAATTTACCTCCTAAGTGGTGAAAATATATAGCCCGAAGAGTGTCGTAAGTGTAGGGCTTTTTATTAAAGGTAGAATGATTTAAAAATATGCTGTGATTCCTGACATCCTACGCCTTCATGGCTCGCGTATGTGTGTGTTTACGCTTTATTATATTAGTACAGATATACATAGATAAAAAGTATTCTTTTTGCCACTGAAGTTAACCAGATAAAAAAACAATAAACTTAATTTTATAATGAAACCATTTGTATTCATAAAATGAGTTTTAAAATCTTTAAATCGTAAATTAAAACATACACGTGCTGGCAAATGTACAAGTTACTTAGTAATTTGATGTGCATTATGGTTTCACGACACGTGTCTGTAGAAATAAACATTAAAACAATTTCGCAAATCTAAATAAAGACAAGATAATACTTTATGTATGATCATCACCAGCTCACTATACGTCCCCACCGAGGGGCTCGGAGCCTATCCTAAAGTTAGGGTGACTGGGACATAGGCAACCACGCTGGCCCACTGCGGTTGACTTCACACATATCTTTGAATTAAAACAAAGTTACGTCTACATCGAGAAACTGCGCTTTTTCACCAACCAAGTATCTTTGAATAAAGAGTTTCAAAGGAATAGCTCTACTGCTCCCCTCATTCTTGTCCCATCCTTTTCTTTTTAGGAAAGAGAATTTCAAATACGATCTCTCCTCCGTTGGTTTAGCGAACCATCTCTAATCTGGAGCCGAACAGACAGACTGATTTTAACAAGTGTCAATTTTTTTTACCATTAACATATGTCGTCAGGTCAGAGTTCCGGCGGCAAAAAGTCCGGCTCCGGCGCGGGTAGTGGCGTGCTCACGTGCCCCAAGTGCGGCGACCCCTGCACCCATGTAGAGACCTTCGTCAGCTCCACACGCTTCGTCAAATGCGACAAGTGTCACCACTTCTTCGTGGTGCTCAGCGAAGTCGACACCAAGAAGAGTATCAAAGATAACGCAGACAACAAATCCGGGTTCTACAGGTCAGTCAAAACTGCAATAAATATACTAAAGTATGTACAGTATTAACTTGTATTTACTGTTTCGACTTTGTTATTGGCTTGTAATTTATGTTCCTTTCTTACTAAGTATTCTTTCCAATTTACCACCTTAGCCTAATAGTGTGATACTATATAGCCTAAAGTATGTCGTAAGTGTAAGGCTTTATATTAAGAATGATTCAATACAAATATGCTGTAATTGCTGACATCCTACATAACAAAGTGTGTTTATGTTTACGCTTTATTTTATTCGTACAGATAAAAATAAACTCGAAGATATATGTAGAATAATATATCTAATTCTACAGTAAAAAAGATATCTTATCGTGCAATATAAATCGTATTCTGTGTGTAGAGTCGTTGAACTTTAAAAAAAATTCCATTTCTTACACGAAATCTTTGTTCTTTTTATCAATTTGCGTAAGTAATTTTTTTATGTAATTTATTTCGATACTAATGAACTGTTTCTAAGGTCGAGGTGACTTTACTGTTTACGTATTTGTGACTGACAAATTTATATGACTCTGTCTTAAGTCTAACTAAATTACGATATTTCTCTACAGCCTTCTGTCTTTGTCCAAAAGTTTCACAAACTCCTCGTCGTATTGTATCTAGTGTCCTATGGTATAGGTTTTCTGACAGAATCAATCGATAATGCCTTTACTAGCTCAGATGAGTTTGTCGCAATCTTTTAAATTTCTTTAAACCCAGTTATATATAAACAGGCCTTTCAGTCAGTTGATTCTTTCACTTTGTCTACCAAAATAAAATCATCAAAACAAAAGAGAATCTGTTTTAAAAGATAACCTTAATATATTTGTTGTCTCTATTTTTGCAAAGATAATGAAAGAGATAAGAATAATGTATTTGTTTTTATACAATTGTCGTCAGTGGGAACTCGCGTATCAATATAATTAACACCAGAGATGAACCTTCAGCGGTCAATATCACTAAGGTGAAGGAACTCTTGCTAGTGTTTGTACAAATCATAATTCTTACTGATATGCGAAAATTTACATGTATGGATGTTTGTTACCACGTCTCTCCAAGCTTACGGATCTCGGTGAAATAAGGCATAAATGTGAAACATAGCCTGGAAGAACACATAGGCTGTTTACAAAGTTCAATATCTTTTTTATTTCGATCACCTATAGAGATGCTACAGTAACAAGAAGCACGTTAAATATGAGTGTGGAGGTATACCGATAGACGTAGAAAGAGATGGATGGATTGCGTGAAAGGTGACATGATCAAGGGAGTGATGACTGAGACGATGGATGATAGGGTTATTTGGAGGACGAAAACGAAGATAAGGTAGGGAGATGGATGATCTGTAGAGATCTTAGAGTGTTAAAGAAATCTTCTGCGTATAACTTGATTATTGACTTTTTATATAAAGTGCCGGACATGTGGCCACTTCAAACTTCTCTTCTATATACTTGCGTAAGAACAGCCGTGACATTGCATTGCGCAAGCGCCGGTCGTCGCGGAAACTTCCGCTGATCTCTTGAAAGTGAATCTTATGACTGTGTCCAATCCGATATGTCTTGTTACAGCATACATTCATGTTATTAGAATATAACAAAGCATTCTAAGCTTTTGTTGATGGAAATAAATATTACTTAAAATTGTGTTAAAAAACGCGTAATTTCATATCTTAGTATGTATAAAGAGGAAAGATTTGTATTTTTATATGTGTTGAAATAACTTAAAAACTACTGAGATGATTTTTAATTCTTATACTATTAAAAAAACTAAGTTATCACTGTGTAACATTTTTCACAATTTTAAATTCTACGCAGACGAAGTCGCGTGAAACAGCTTGTTATATATAAATATCTCAATATCAAGTTTAATTTATACGAATACTAGTTTTCGACCGCGACTCTGTCCGAGTGGAATTAAAACAAAACTAAATAGCCTATGTTTTCTTCCCGATCGTCCTCTACATCTATGCCTAATTTCAATCAGATCCGTTCAGCCGTTTACAAAATCTAACAATCATCCATCCAACTTTCGAATTTAATTCCGAGATGATGATGTCTTGAACTAAACTAAAAGTTTAAACGAGAATTGTAACTTACAGAAAGCCACCGCCGCCTCCTAAGAAGATCTTCGAATATCTGAACAAGCACGTTGTAGGTCAAGAGTATGCTAAGAAGGTGCTTTCTGTGGCGGTGTACAACCACTACAAGCGCATCTACAACAACGTGTCCAGCGGCGCGCATGCTGATGCCCACCATCCTCTGCATCACACGCATAGAGGTACCAATACCAGCGCCAGCTGCGTTGGCACTTCACCACATACAATACACTAACATACAGAGTTCTATCACAGTGGACACCAAGACGGACGTGTACAGTACATATAATGCATTTACATTTAGGTTTTAATGTTTATGTATGCTTTGGCCCGTGAGTCCGTCCGTGTCGAATAAAAAAATAAAAGTAGCCTATGTGTTCTTTCAGATCTGCATCTATAAAAAAATTATTGAAGTTATTTTAGTGTTTAGGCTACAAACTATCAAACACCCATCCAAATAAACTTACGGATTTGTTATTTTAGTAAGATTCATTAGTAGCATGATCAGAGTTTTTATATTTCTTGATAGAAAGCTCATACAGTTTTTTTTACACTATTCCTTTTAGCAACTATATTCTGAACTTTTTTATTCTAACGTTATTGCATATCTATACGTCTATACTTATATTGTAAAGAGGAAAGATTTGAATTTTTAGATTTTTTTATGTATTCCATTTACGTAAAACTACTAGGCCGATTTCAAAAATTCTTTCACCAAAAGAAAGGTAATTTATCACTGACTAACGGGCTATATTTTTTATTATATTCTAATTTCTCGCGCCCGAAGTCAAGAACAATAGCTAGTGTATATTTAATCAAAACATATCGAAGTAAATACATTGCCCTATGTATTATATATTTTAATACTAGCTTGCGCTCGCGACTCCGTCTGCGAGGAATTAAAATACCAAAAGTGAATAGCCTATGTGTTCTTTCAGACTATCTTCTACTTCTATACCAAATTTCATCGAAATCCGTTCAGCGGTTTAGGCTACAAACTCTAACAAACATCCATCCATCTAAGCTTTCGCATTTATAATAGTAATTAGTAATAGTATGAAGTTTGACTGGGTTGTTTATTGAAAGTATTGTCAGGCAAAAAGTCAAGCAATTCGTTACACTCTCACGAACACTTTTTGTCTACAGAGTTTCACTATTCTGATTTACAGTATTCAATTTGTCAAACCGATCTCACTATTGTAATGTTTCGTATTATTTTTATTTATGTTAAAATTTAAACCCTTGATTCTGTACTGAGGACGAAATTACTTTATTCCTGACTAGCTGTTTTTAGCGACTTTGTCCACGTGATATATGTTATCTTACTCAGCGATTACGTAGCTTTCTAATGGTGAAAGAAATTTTGATGGGCCCAGTAGTTTTTGAGTTAATTCAATACATACAAAACAAATCTTTCCTCTATATACTAACAGTATAGACTACCTGTTGCTTGGTTCTTCACCCGCGGGAATTAAAAAAATGTAGCCTAGTAGTCACAGATAAATTAACTTCCTAACGGTGAAAGAATTTTTAAACTCGGCCCCGTAAGTTTTGAATTATTTCAATACATACAAAAAAAAACTTTCCTCTTAATAATATTAGTATAGAAGTAAAAATTAATATAGACTAGTTGACGACCGCGATAGGGTTCGTGCGAAATTAAAAAAATTATCTCTATGTTATTTCATTATTAAGCCCTTGTAACACACATCTAAAATTACGCATTTATATAGTTAGAAGTGATATTTTTTGTGACAAAATTCAATCAGTTTATAGCTCGATTGTATTAAATCTAAAGTGACATGACTATTGTTGTGGCTGCCATTGTCTTTTGTTGAGAGAAAGTTGTCGGTTATGTTCATAATTGATGTACAATCGCGGCAATCCGCGGTGTTTCACTATAGAAAAACTGTCTTGTTCATTGTAACGAGACAAACTCCGCATCTTCCTATAAATAACCAGTTATATAGCAATGATTGCAAACGAAGGGCTAATAAAAGAAGTAATAAAAGTAACAAATTTAGGGAAGTCATTGGCTCCTTTAATACAGGGAATCAACCTAGTAAAGGAGCCAAGGATATACATATGAAATAAAAATGCGAGAAATGTATTTGTATTTGTAAATCTAGCCGTGTTTTTTCAACTTTATTCGTATAGATACATTTATAAGCTGCGTTTTTTTTTAATTTTTATTTCGCGTTTCGTTTTTAAATGCCCAAACGATTGTAGTTTAAATGTTGAGCACCGACAATTTCCCAAATTTGTGTTGGTAACTACGAATGATCACGATGTAAGGTTATTCTTGTATTCCCTAAATGTTGTTAAACTCTGTATTTTTATTGTCATTTATAGTGTTTTCTTAGTAAATGATTGCCAACGTTAGATGCATCATCACGAAAAGTTATGAAATCCCACGTAATACCTAATGTACAGTTGTTAACATACGTGATGTCCATACTGAGTCAATTGCACAGTCGCGGACACAAGTCACATACTAACATAGCACTGCCCCCCGCGACCTGCTGCTTGCTAGTACTGACGCGTTTTCAACTGTTGTACTGCACTGTACTGCATTATTGATATCACGTCTGTAAATTGTGTATTAAAGGGTTACATTGAATTACTTGTGTGTTTGATCTGGGGAGGTCATAATAAGGTGAAATGTAATTTGGGGATGTACGGACTTATTTTCTTAATCTAATA